TCCGACCACCCCCCCCCCTTGCCCGTTCGCACCTGGGCACGGGCGCGCAGCAGCGCGGTCGATCAGTGGACCCAGGGCCGAGGGGACCACTGGGACATGGCCATCAAGGGCTCGCCCGCCCTGCGCGCCGCCCTTTCCAAGGCCGCCCTGCGCGAATCGGCTCAGCGCGCGGGCGTTGACCGCGTCCCCCTGTGCGCCGACACCGCAAGTTCTCCGACTCGCTGGGCCTGGCCTGGCTCGTCGAGCGCGCGCCCCCCCTCGGCCCGTGGGCTTCTCCCGCGCAATCCTCGCCCTGGAGGTAGTGGCGTTCCTGGCCCCGCGCTGCCTCGAGCGGGGCGAGTGGGTTGGTCCGCCGATCTGCGCCAGCCAGTCCATCGTCGCGAGCTCGACCAGCGACGCCAGGTTCGGCAAAATCTTCCTCTACCCCGTCCTCCAGGCCGCCCAGGCCCATGCAAGGCCGCCCGCCGCGCGCAGCGGGTCCTCCGTCTGCGCCGCGCGGCCGCCCGCCTGGGCAGTTTGGGCGCCAGCCTCCAAGCCGCCGGCGGCCTTCGGAAATGGCGCCCGGGGCATCGCCCCATCGCATCCCCCAGCCCCGGCGCCCGGCGGCGGCGGCAGCGGCAGCGGCAGGAGCAGCGCGCTACCTCGAGTCAGCCATGGCCATACTACGCCAAAGCAAGGACCCTGCCATCAAGCTCCGCACGCAGCTGGCCCACGAGTGGCTCGGGCTGGCGAGGCCAGAGCTCCACCGGCGGGCGCAACGCATCTGGCCCCACGCGCACCACCGCCTGCTCCGCGCCGAGACGGGGCGGAGCAGGACAGTCCACGGGCATGTTTCGGCCATCCTCGCCACGAAGTTGGACGCTAGTTGGAGCCCCTCAAGACCCGACTCCTGGAGGAGGCCAACTGCAGCAGGGCTAGAGGAGTGGACCATCCCCCTCGCCGACCCGCAGGGCGGGCTCCAGGTCGACTTCAACGAGATCCCCGAACTGCTGGACGATCTCACGGAGGACCTGGACGCGCTGCGCCGGCAGCAGGCGGCCAAGCACGCCCGCGGCGGTGGACTCGGCGGTCGATCCGACGTCTCCCAGATCCAGCAGGAGCTGGACCACTGTGCCAAACGGGGCCACTGGCAGGAGTGGGCCCACAACTACCTGGTGGCGGTGGGCGGGCAGTGGCCCCGCCAGCGGCAGGTCGACGCGGGGCGCCAGGGTTCCCCGCTCTGCCAGCGTTTCCTCAGCGAGGAGGAGTCCCTGGAGCACCGCATATGGCGATGCCCGTGCAATACGGAAAACCTTGCGCACGACCGGGCGGCTCACCTCGTCCCGCAGGCGCTCAGCATGGAGGGAGTGCCCAGCGCTGCGGCTCCGTGGCATCAACCTAGCAGCCAGCGCCGCCCCGCCCCCCCCCCAGCCGCGCGATGAGCTGTTCGTGCTGGTTGGCGCCCCGTGACCTGCTGCGCCCGCGGGCCCCGTCGGCCTCTTCGGCGACGCCTCTAACGGCAAGCGCAGCGCGGACCCCCCGCGGACGGAGATCGGCGTCGGTCTGGCCTTCATCTCGGACTCCAGCGACCGTTGGGAGCTCTAGCCGGAGGCCATCGCCACCCTCCCAGGGCGGGGAGGGTTTCGCCTTCGTCCTCGCCCTGTAGCACATCGACGTCGACTTCGACTACGCTACGGGCCACGAGCCCCTGCTCGCCGCTAGGCAGCGGCAGCGCTGGACCTGCCCAGCTGCGGGGAGGCACAGTGACCTCTGGGCGCGTCGGCAGGGCACTGGCGGCAAGGCCCTACGGGCGGGCCACGGTCGCCTGGACCCTCATCGCACCAGGAGAATGACTGTGAGCCCGTCGTCTCGCCGTTCCTGGCCACGGGCAACTGCTGCGCCGACAAGCTCGCCAACCTCGGGGCCGACATCGCCGTGGGCCACGCGGGCGCCGGCGTTCCGCGCGGGGGCCGATGGGGCGCTATCGCATCGCAGGTCAGACGCCGTGCCAGGCAGGCGCAATTTCCAGTCGGCGCGCAGGGGCGAGGAGTGAGCCGCCGACGCTTCGGTGGCCACACGGCGGGGACGTGCCGCCAGCGCGGCGCCCCGCGGGGCCACCGCCGCGCCTGGGGGACCTTGCTGCCGCCCCCAGGCTGCGCGCGGTGGCGAGGAGCGGGCGGACGCGCCTCTGGCGCCGCCGACGACGGCGCGACGGCGCGACGGCCGCGCGCAGGGCTCGCGGCCGCGAGCGGACCTCACAATATCTGGGGCCCTGGCGGTCGTCTGCTAGCAGACGCCCGCCAGGGCCTTTTTCATGATGGCCCATCCAACCATCCATCCATCCATCCTCCTCTCAGTCGCTCCCTCCCAACTCATCCCCCCTCCCTGTGCCCTCCTCCCCCCTCCCCGCTCCATCCCTGCTTCCATCCCTCCTCCCTGCAAGACGTCGCGGGCAGCCCGGAGCGGAGGTCAGGGCAATCAAAACGGCCCTCCGGCCTCGTCGCCATCAACGGCCCCGGGGGAGTGCAAAGACCAGTGCTAACGCTCGAAGCCCAGGCAAAATGAACGTGATGGCAAGGAGGCGGTCGCACCGACGGGCCTCGTGCGAACCTAACGGCGGCTGGGGAACACAGGGTCGTCGAGAAGACGCCAGAACTGCCGCGCCTCTAGGGAACACGCAATGGCATACACAGACGTAGAAACTTGAAGGTCCGCGCCGATCAGAGACACCCGCACGGATCTCCAAGGCTTTATCCCAATGTAAATATTGATTCCCCTAGGCCAGGGGGCGGAGGACGGCTGGTCCGTCTCTCTGCTCCCACTCTGGACCAAGTCCCGCTGGACCCCCACAATTTCGCCCAAGTGGCGACAATTACCATCCAAGAAGGGCGAGGTCCAGTTTGGATACCCGTAGGGTCACACTCCGCTGGACCTCCCAGGATCTCACAACAGTGGCGACAGTGCGACAGTTGCGCAGTTGGCAACACCCAGCGGGGATGAGATCTAGTCCCACCAGCCCTTTAGGGCGTAGGTGGTCTAGAGAGTTTCCTCTGCCAACCCCCCTTCTTTCCCTTCGGGGAGGGGTTTACCCCTCCCCTTACCCCTCCCCACTGACCTGGACGGGGCGTTCCGCGACGCGTTGGGACGCCCAAGATGGCTCAAGACAGCTCCAAGAGCGAAAAGGCGAGAAAGCACAAAACATTGATTTTACCTAGGTTTTGGAAGGATTTTGGCCTCTTGGGGGAGCCCAAGAGGCGATCCGAGGCACTCTAGAGGGGCGAGGCTAATTGGGGACCCCCTCTTCTTTGATCGATCTCCTCCAAGATGGCCCCAAGAGCGCCCCGAAGGCTCCCAAGAGCGCCCCAAGAGCGCCCCAAGAGTGCCCCAAGAGGCCCCAAGAGGCGCCCAAGAAGCCTCCAAAAGGCTCCCAAGAGACCCCCAAGAGGCCCAAGAGGCTCCCAAGACGGCCCAAGACGGCTCCAAGAGCGAAAAGGCGAGAAAGCACAAAACATTGATTTTACCTAGGTTTTGGAAGGATTTTGGCATCTTGGGGGAGCCCAAGAGGCGACTCGAGGCACTCTAGAGGGGCAAGGCTAATAAGCAACCCCCCCTTTTTTTGATAGATCTCATCCAAGATGGCCCCAAGAGCGCCTCGAAGGCTCCCAAGAGCGCCCCAAGAGCGCCCCAAGAGGGCCCCAAGAAGCCTCCAAGAGGCCCCCAAGAGACCCCCAAGAGGCCACAAGAGGCTCCCCGAGATACGCAAGAGGCCCCCGGGACCGCCAAGAGGCCCCAAAGACGGCCCAAGAGGCCCCCAAGCTCGCCATTGTCCTCCTCCTCCTCTTTCTCTTCCTCCTCCATCCTTCCTCCTCCTCCTCCTCCTCGTCCTCCTCGTCCTCGCAGTCCTCCATCTCCTCCTCCTTATCTTCCTCCTCCTCCTCCTCCTCCTGCTCCTCCTCCTGCTCCTCCTCTTCCTCCTCCTACTCCGACGACGACGGCTCCTCCTACATCCTCTCCCTCTTGGGGTATATGGCGGCTCACCCCGCCCTCTGTTCTTCTGCATGCTCCCCCGCTTCCCTCATAACCTCCACTCCCCTGGGACTCATTTCTGGACGGGCTGGTGGGGATACGCGAAGCGTCTAGAATTTGGATGATCATAGGACCGCACCCCACTAGACCTCCCAGGAGATAATAGAAAAGGCAGCAGTTCCACAGTTGGCACCGCCCAAAAAGAGTGGGGTGCACTTTGGATGCCCGCAAGACCGAGCCCCGCTGGACCTCCCTTGATCCATGTGGCAAAGTGCCGGCAGTTCCACAGTGGCACCACCCAGGGAGGGCGAGGCATAGTCTGGATTCCTTCAGGACCGCACTCCGCTGGAACTCCCAGAAGCTCACGAAAGTGGCGACGGATTCGCAGTTGCATCACCCAGGGAGGGCGAGGTCTAGATCGGATGCAGTGGGGAGAATGGCATCCCGCTGGACGCCCTAAAAGATATACGAAATTGGCGAGATGGCACAGCTGGCAGCTGCGAGAGAGGAGAGATAGTGCAATTAAGAGGCAGGTAAAGGAGGTAGGAAGCAAGCAGGAGCCCTGAGGCAGGAAGAGGGAAAATACGAGCATGAGCATCAAGGCTCTATCCGAAACGAACTACCGAAAACAGGAAGGCTGGGGAATCTAAAAAGATGGACATACAAATCAGGAATCAGAGAAAGGAAGTTCTCGGAATGGTCGTTGACATTCGTACCTGCCTGTTCAAGAGCCTGACCCGCCTCCACCATCTGACCAACCCCTGTGAGGCCCCATAGGAGGAAGAGGAAGCTTGAGGAGCAAGCGGTGTAAGCGGAGATTGAAGCAGAGGAAGCGGAGGAAGAAGCGAAGAATGGTGAGGCGGAGTAAGCGGAGGCAGAGGAGGGAGCACGAGAAGGAGACGGAGGAATGAGACGGGCAGGCGAGCAGGAGGAGGTAAAGGCTTGCGAAGGCCAGGTAGTGACCGAGGCCTCCCTCCAACGCGAGGCGCCCTCGCCTCTTTTCCCAGCACGGAGCGCCGTTGTGGAGTTCAGGTCTAAGCTCGTAATCCTGATGTGCGCTTGCTCAAGTGCACTGCGAAAACTCAATTTAGCTCATTGCGCCGCGCCAGAACGCTATGTAGCATAACAATGAGCCGCATCACATGTCAAGCGCTATTGAACTACGAAATCATGCATGCACGAAGCCACGCATCCACGCATCCATGCACGTATACTCTCCACACGTACGGCGAACATCACAAGCAAAATAATCCACCACCGTGCCTGCACGGAGTTGGCGAGTTAGAATGCTCTTGCGGTATCTGGAAGGTATCATTCGTGTTTCTAGGGCCGACCCCCCCTCCCCTCCCTCGACGCACGCATCGTTCGAAAATCCCCCCCTTGACATTGCCCTCTGGCTGGTTTTGCTGCCTCCAAACGGCCAGGATGGCCTCAAAGACGGATTCCAAGACATTCAGTTTGACCCGACGACGGCCCAAGGTGATACACGACCACTCACGAGGCTCATAAGACGGCCCCAACAAGGCCCAAGATGCCACCCAGACGGCCCAAAAGGGCTCCAAGTGGTGCTCCAGGAGAGCCCGAGGATGCGAATCCACTGTGTTTTTCCTTCGGTGGTTGAAGGATGTTGAGGTCATCGCTGGTTTTGGTTTCCGACCGCCCGAGACGACCCTAGAGGCCTCGACTGTAGCTCCAAGACAGCCAGCCCATGACGCCCCCGCACCAGGGCCCCAAGTCGGCCCAAGAAGACCCCACGATCGCTCAAGAGCCTCCCAAAAGGCTTCCGGACACAACCCTAAACGGCTCCAAGAGGACCACGGCGGCCCAGAGAGGCCCCCGATATGCGCTCGAAGCGGTGCCCAAGAGACGCGCAATAGGCAGGCCCCAATCAGCCCTCAGGAGGCTCTCAAGAGGCCCCGAGAGAGCCCCGAATAGACCTTTTCCTCCGCATCTTCAGGTTCTCCCTCTCTTCCTGCTACTCCTCCTCCTCCCTACCGCACCCACGAAGATGATGTCGAGTTCACGAACCGCCTCAGCCCAGACAGCCCGCCGAACCGCGACGGGGCGTGAACCCGACCTCCCCCCTACGAACGAAAGACCAGGTCGAGTTCACGACCCGTCGCAGTTTAGACCAATCCCCGGAATTGCGCTATGAATACACTCAGTCTCCTTCCTGCTGCCCTGTTGCACAAGCGCGCTGGGGTTTGCCGCAGGAAGCTAGATAGCAATGCCCTCCAGACCATTGATGAACATGTCATGCAACGCTTCAGGGGCTTGGGCATCTCGTTGCATCCTGCTTGGAGGCGATGTGTAAACACACCTGCATCTGTATACTGACGGCCCCACGTTGTGCAAGACAATACTGCACATAGTGTTGACTTGCAACATGTAGGGATATTCCACCCGCATGCGCCCGACACTGAACACATACACTTTTACAACGCCGAGTGGCTTCTACAGCCACTTGCTAATCACGCCTGGCTCGATGGGATGATGTTGACCTGTTCGATGGGCGTCCCCGGAATGCTCCCCCGACTGAGGACTCTTAATTCATTTCTTGAACGCTTGGATGGCAAGGTTATGGATTCGCCTTGTGCTCGATTAGTGCCCGCCCAAGCCCGCCCGCCCCTGGGCGCCTGTGTGCCGGTAGGGTGTGGTAGGGTTTCGCCTTGCGCCCGCAAATTTTGGCAACTCGTGAGCGACCCGTGCGCTGGGTGACCACACAGCTTGCACCACATCGGTTGCATCACATAACTCGCGTCACATAGCTTGCACCACGCTTGCACCACATAGCTGTCACCGCACAGCTGTCAACGGGCACCGCATAGCTGGCACCATTCATGTGCTGCACCATTATAGCTTGCAGAGTGCAAGCTGCATCACAACAATTTCATGATATGCGAAGCCTCACTCAGCTTTCAGCACATCTATTGCCACGTGGTTTGGAACACGTGGCTTGCACAACATATTACACAGCTCTATGTATAATAAAGATACGACTAACTATTGACCAATGATTGCATAGCTACATCTGAGGAGCAGTCAACGGTTGAGAATACACGCCCCATGACACTACAAGATGAAGGGAACTTCTGAAAATTAAGTCTCCGCCTGACCAATAAACACGTCATCCAAAACAGGCGGTCGCTTCAGAAAAACAGAACTCTCGTCACCTACAGGCGCACGTGACTCCGACCGCCGTCCAGTCCATCGCCATCGCCCAAATGCTGCCATACACATCCCCGCCAGCAAAAACCGCAGCCCACAATCCCCGTTCAGGAACAAATGGTCGTCGACCTTCTGCTTCAGCATGCCGGACCGAGGCGACATGGCAGGGTAGCCCGCCAGCCCAGCGCTGCCAGCGACCTCTGGTGAGCGAGGGCGGGCGCACGGCGCAGTGGGAGACGAGATGGAGGGAGAAGGGAAAGGATGGTAAAGGAAGGGGCGGGGCGGGAGGAAGGGAGAGGGAGGGAAAAAGGGAGGAAGTGTAGAGGAACAAAAAAAAGGAGGGAAGACAGGATATCATCAGGGAAACGGACAGCGGGAGGTGGGCGGGCGGGGCAGGCGGGAGTCGAGTTTTTTCCCAGCCATCCCGTCTCGTTGGGTCTTCGGTTTGAAAAGATCCCTCTTCCCACCCCTGCCCCAGCCATCCGTTTGCCCCTGTTTCGGCACACCCATGGCACAATTCGTGGCCCCATAGGGAGCTCCACCGAAAGCCTCAACTGCAGCGCCCGCGTGACGCACCAGCGCCCAAGTCGGCACACCACTCATACGTTTCGTTGCTATAGGAAGCCCGAAAACCCCAGCGGCAACGTCCGCATGCCGCACCTGCACAAGATTCGGCACAACTCACACATGTTTCGTAACCCCACGTGGAACTCCGCCGGAAGCTCCAACGGCACCGGCCGCATGGCGGACCCACACCCAATTCGGCAGACCGTTCACACGCTTCGTTGCCTCATACGGAGCGTCGCCGAAGGCCCCAGCGGCCGAAGGCCCTCACATGCATCTGATATTCGCAGGTGCGAATGTCTGGGTCCTTCGCCAGGACCATCTCGTTTTCACCACACATCTTGGGGAAACGAGGGCGGGAAGGAACGAAACACTGGCGCCCACCGTAAATGAGCAACGTCCCGTCAGACTCTGCTCGTTCCTCCGCCGACGAGCGGGCAAAAAACGTATCAACCAGAAGGCATCGTACCGAACAAACGGCGGTGGACTGCAGACTTCAGCGCTCACAAGCCGCAGAAGGTAAGAGGCCGAGGACAAAGCAGAGGAGAGGGATATACCAGCACGGTACTCAAATTGCGCTCCCGTGTGAGGAAAACACGACAACGTCGCGCGGCATCCCCCTGTTGCCCAAACGGCCACGACCAACAAACGAACCCAACATCAAGCAGAAAGGCAAACGAGGAAGAGAAACCCGCGGGTGCGCATAGCGGCTGGACTTCGCCAGCAATTGCCGCCCAGTCTCCCCCACGGGCGCATGCAACACAGTGGAGAAACAAAAAGACAAGACCGGATCACAGCAGGGTCACGGCCAGAAGCCCTCCTGCACGCATGTCCATAGCAACGGCGTGGTAGTCCCAGTTGCACAGCTATCGCGCGGAACGAATTAGCTGCAAGTCCAAGAGGTACGTGGCGCTGCCTGGAAAACCTCGCCGCCTTATCTGGCAACAGGCCTGGCGTCAGCATGGCACAACAACGGCTCTAGGGCAGACGGCCGCCATCGAAAGCCTCGCGGACAACCCAAAGAAAAGTTGAGCACGCAGTTTGCAGACGAGAAGAGGCATGAGTAAACCAGAAAGTGCCTGCGCACGTGGTCGAGAAACAAGGTAATCAACTTCGCCTGCGGCGGGTTTTGCGTGCATTCCGGGAGTTTCTTCACACCGTCACGTCGCGGCCCTAAGCGGCGCGTCGTGGCCGAGCATGGTCGAGACCCCGCCGAATCCCCGCATCGCTTCGCGATGCTACTGGGCCACGGATATGCTCGCGCGCAGTCGCAGCTCGTCTGGGCGAAGAGCTGGCGACGAACTTGGCGCACGGCTTGCTCGCGACGTACGTTGCCACGGCCTGGGCGGCCAGTTCCCGGCCATCGAGGCGACCTGCAAACGTTCATCTGCTCAGCCCTGGAGGCGCGAACGCAGCCCCGAGCATACGTCGCGCCAATTCCTGAATGGTTGGGCAGTCGGCGCAATGCTCGATGGCATCCTCAGCCGCGGCTGAACATCCCATCGCGCATCGGCAACTTCCCTTCCGAATCCCACCAGCCCTTTAGGGCGTAGGTGGTCTAGAGAGTTTCCTCTGCCAACCCCCCTTCTTTCCCTTCGGGGAGGGGTTTACCCCTCCCCTTACCCCTCCCCACTGACCTGGACGGGGCGTTCCGCGACGCGTTGGGACGCCCAAGATGGCTCAAGACAGCTCCAAGAGCGAAAAGGCGAGAAAGCACAAAACATTGATTTTACCTAGGTTTTGGAAGGATTTTGGCCTCTTGGGGGAGCCCAAGAGGCGATCCGAGGCACTCTAGAGGGGCGAGGCTAATTGGGGACCCCCTCTTCTTTGATCGATCTCCTCCAAGATGGCCCCAAGAGCGCCCCGAAGGCTCCCAAGAGCGCCCCAAGAGCGCCCCAAGAGTGCCCCAAGAGGCCCCAAGAGGCGCCCAAGAAGCCTCCAAAAGGCTCCCAAGAGACCCCCAAGAGGCCCAAGAGGCTCCCAAGACGGCCCAAGACGGCTCCAAGAGCGAAAAGGCGAGAAAGCACAAAACATTGATTTTACCTAGGTTTTGGAAGGATTTTGGCATCTTGGGGGAGCCCAAGAGGCGACTCGAGGCACTCTAGAGGGGCAAGGCTAATAAGCAACCCCCCCTTTTTTTGATAGATCTCATCCAAGATGGCCCCAAGAGCGCCTCGAAGGCTCCCAAGAGCGCCCCAAGAGCGCCCCAAGAGGGCCCCAAGAAGCCCCAAGAGGCCCCCAAGAGACCCCCAAGAGACCCCCAAGAGGCCACAAGAGGCTCCCCGAGATACGCAAGAGGCCCCCGGGACCGCCAAGAGGCCCCAAAGACGGCCCAAGAGGCCCCCAAGCTCGCCATTGTCCTCCTCCTCCTCTTTCTCTTCCTCCTCCCTCCTCCCCCTCCCCCTCCTCCTCCTCCTCCTCCTCCTCCTTTTCCTTTTCCTCCTTCTCGTCCTCGCAGTCCTCCATCTCCTCCTCCTTATCTTCCTCCTCCTCCTCCTCCTCCTCCTGCTCCTCCTCCTGCTCCTCCTCTACCTCCTCCTACTCCGACGACGACGGCTCCTCCTACATCCTCTCCCTCTTGGGGTATATGGCGGCTCACCCCGCCCTCTGTTCTTCTGCATGCTCCCCCGCTTCCCTCATAACCTCCACTCCCCTGGGACTCATTTCTGGACGGGCTGGTGGGGATACGCGAAGCGTCTAGAATTGAGTTCGCGCGGCGGTCGGGGACCACGGGGTCAGAACGAGGCCCAATGCCACCCCCGTGGCTCGCGGGGGCACGGACCCGCGAAGCCCTTGAGGATGCGCATGGACTTGTCGGGCCGCCTTGGCTGGAGGCCCTGGACAATGCCAGCGGGCAAGCCGAGCGCGAAGGCACCGCGGTGGGTCGTGTCTGCCTTTGGCAAATAGCCGGCATGATTTCTGGATGGGCTGGTGGGGCGCGCGATGCGTCGAGTCCTCTTGTCACGGGGCAGTCCCCAGTAAGTCTCCCAATCTACAGCATCTCATTCAATGACCGAACAAATTTCGTTCGCTTCTCGCCCCGCTGATTCTTCGAATCGACTGGGCCAGTGGTGCCTCAAAGTGCCCCCGTTGCGATCAGAAAGATTTAATTACTGCAGGTCCAGGCAAGCCCGCGATGGCGCATGTCAGATGTCCCTGCAAATGCCCTGGAAGCATACCAACTGGGCTTGAGCACGCAGTCGATCGGGCTTCGGAACTGGCGAATGTCGCGTTTCAAGCGATTTGCTTACTGCGCATTCTTGGCTACAGTCTCCAAAATACCTTAGCGGAGCCCTGGGAACCCAGTTGGGCTTCAGCGAACCCCAGGTCGGCCCCAGTACGCAATGCACAGCAAGCGATGGCCGACCATTGCTCCCATAAGAGCGCGTTTCTTTATTTTCGGCAATGACGGGCATCATGGGTGTTTGGGAGCGGGGGGGGGTATGACGTATTCCCCCCCGCCGTGTGGCTCTGGCACAAAAGCCGCGCACACGCGCACAACGAAGATGAGTGACGAGCAACGACCACGACGACGCAAGCAACATGTAGTAGGTGGCGATCTGCCCCACAGCGCCTGTGCACACCACAACGATCGCGTGCACCACGGCGCGCGTGTACACCACAACGCCTGCGTACACCGCAACAGCCGTGTTCAACGCAGCGCTTGTGTACACCACAGCGCGCGCGTGCACCACAGCTCTGGTGCACAACACACACCGCAGCAACCATGTGCAACACAACATCTGTGTACACCACAATGCTTGCGTGCACCGCAGAGCCTGTGCAGACCACAGCGCCTGTTTGCACCATAGCATCCGCGTGCAACGTAGCGCTGGTGTACACCGTAGCGCCTGCGTGCATAGGACAGATAAAAGGAGCATGTCGGTGAGGATCTGCTGCGGACAGCTAAACGCCACGCCAGGGAAGTGCTGATAATGGAATGCGACGTTCTTCCCTTCTCCCCCCTCCTCCACCTCCACCTCCACTTCCTCCTCGATCCTCGATCCTCCTCCTCCTCCTCCTCCTTCTCTTCCTCCTCGTCCCTCACCCTCCCCCCCTGTCACGCGAGTCGGCGCTACAGCGCACGTGCGACTCTCAGCGTGCACCGCTTATTGGTCGATTGAATCCGTCCACTTGGTTCTTGGACAACCAATTTTGCGGGAGCCTTCTGGGCGCAGATGGGAGGAGTTAGGATGATGCGGGCGGACTCGGTAAGACTCGTACATCGATTCCAGAGGCGTTCCATTTTCCATAAAGGGCTTCTTTCCCAAATCCTATGTGAAACCATTCATTTCTGTGGAAACCACCGGCGATCCACTTTGTCATACATATTCCTTCTCACATTCTATATGCAACACTGGTGCTCTGTTGCACACGGATGCCGTGTTGCACACAGGCGCCGTGGTGTACACAGGAGCTGTAATACACGCAGGCATTGTGGTGTACAGTGGTGCTGTGTTGCACACGGCTGATGTGGTGTACGCAGGCGCTGTGGTGTACACAAGAGCTGTGATGCCCGCAGGCTCTGTGGCACACACCGGCGCTGTATTGCACGTGAGTGCTGTGGTGTACATGAGCGGCGTGGTGTGCACAGGCGCTGTGGTGCACGCAGGCACTGTGGTGTACACAGGCAC